GGTCGCTATCAGCGCCCCGGCACGGCCCAGCCTCCGGGAATCAGTGGCCGGTATTTCCGCCGCGGCCGGCCTGGCCCGGCCCGGCCCGGCCCGGCCACGTCGCCCTGCGGCCGCCGGCGTCGGAGCGTGGCTCCCCGCTAACCCCGCCCCCATGCATGGCCGGCGGCGGCGCGGACGCACCATAAGTGCAGCGCGCCGGAGACCGCCGAGCCGTGCCGCACCGGGCCGCGCCGGGCCGCCGCGGGCCGGCCCGGCCGTCCCAACCTCGACTGGCGTCAGCACCGCAGACCGTGCGGCGCTGCGGGAGGCGCTCGGAGGGCCCTGGCCGCCCGACCCGGCCGGCACCCCCTGACCCGGCCCGCACCGCGGCGGCGCAGCAGCGCTGCGGCGCGGCGGCGCGCGGGTCACCAGCTGGCCAATCGGCCGGCCGGTAATCGCGGCTCATTACAGGTGGCGCCGGCCGGCCGGATGCGGCGGCGCCTCGGCCGGCGGCGCCGAGCCAGAGCCGCCGGAAGCCAGAGCCGCCGGCAGGACGTCCGGCCAGACGGCGTCGCCGCCGCCGGCCAGCTCTTTGTGCGGCGCCGCGGCTGGGCCGTGACGTCGCGGCTGGACTGCACTGCCGGAGGCCAGTCCGGACTGGTTGGCGGCCGGACCGGGCCGGGCCGCTGCTGGCTGCATTGCGACTGCCGCTGGATGGACGAGACTACTGGCGCTGGACCACCACGAGACTGCCTGAACGGCCCGGACATCACAGTTAACTATGGACCAGCAGACGGACTACCAACGTACCATGAGTCAATCTGGCATAGCCGTGGTCTTGGCTAGACATGAAGATGTGCGCCTTACGTTTTTGGCCACAGAGTCAGCCAGGTACGGAATAAGATGAGCGCACATCGGCCAAATGGCATGGAAGGAAGGCTTGACACAAATTACATGGATACATGAAATATTTTAAGACTCGCACAACTTTAAATTGCAATCGCTTCGTCCTGCGTATCATTATAATGCCACTGCCAACTTAATTCCTCCTACACCATATAACGATAATATTGTACTGAAAAAGAAAAATGGTAATTTCGGAAAATCACGCTGAAAACGTCTCACCATCTTTCGCCAACAAAATTAAGGTCGATCGCACATGCTGTGGAGAGTCATACTGGTACAAACTGCCTCCACCATTGATAAAATTAAAGTTTTCTTTTTAAGCGTAGGAAAATCCACATTTTTAAATATTTCGCACGGGCTTGAAAGCGGTTTTTAAAATGTCGAAGTCCGATAGAACACAATCCGGTCAACGAGCTCACGTGACCTGGCGATTCAGGGCGCGGTCCCGGGCGAATGCTCAACTGAGCTGCTCAGCTTCCGCCTTAAAAGGCGTCCAGGTGCGTTTAAGAAGACAACAATTTGCTTTTGTAAAACACAATGGCAACTCGCATAAACACCGCGGTACTTACCGGCAGTTCATTCATAGTTGTCGTAGTAGGCAGAGACAACTTACGTCCATCAGGGTGGGGTTAGATGAATGGACGTGGGACAACGAGGGGCATTGTGAAGATGTAGGTGTCTCTGTTTTCGGTGGTCTGATAGATTTCTGATCACAGCGACCGGGCGCGAATGGAGCAGATATTGTTGTTTGTTGTTGTTTATTGATGTTTTCAGGCGCGTCGACTGCAATGGTCATTTTGCGCCCAGAATGGAGCAAAGACAAAATGAAGGGTGGAGAGGGCTAAGTCTCCTCAAAAAAGTTATCAGCCTCGGCCATGGTTGCCTCTGCGGCGATACAGTCACGGAAGACGGAGGGAAGGTTTGTCCATCTCGTCCAATGCCATGCTGCTGGGGATTTTTTCCGTCTGCTCCCCGCTTCCCCTCTCCCCTCCCCCCCCGACCACCTCCACAAAACCGCGTGGATCCTGGTCCGAACCAATGTCGCGCACGTTCGGGAATGTCAAAGTGAAATAGCTGGACCACAAAACCTTGCCCAAGGCCTGCCATCTTTTTGACCTGGCCACCTTACGACGGCAAATCGAACGTTATTCCTGACAGCAAGAAATGCAGAAGCATGCAACATTTGTGAATCGTTTCCGTCAGTTGGTCAGTACAGGTAAGTTTAGGGGATTTGGCTTGACTATCGGCACCATTCAGCTCTTGAAACTGATGTTGGATGAGGTCATTGTACCTCACGTAACAATTGCGCGCGTAACAATTGCACGGTCTCACATTTCCGTTATACCCTGCACCATTCTAGCAAGTCCCCTGCATGTGTTTAACACCGATATCGAGCCCACAGGTCCACTCACCAACGGCCATGACAGCTGAGGGGTCAACAGGTCCTTCAAATATCACCTCCCACGCGCACACTGCCACCCACACGGGTGATACCGTCAACTTCTCAGGACCAGGACACGTAGACATGTCTATCCAAAAAGTGCATGGGGAGCGGGTGCCCACTCGAGACCTCAGCCAAGCCGGCGGACTTGTGCTCGATTCCGTTCTGGCGGAATCGATTCCGTGTCCAACTCAAGCGCATGAGGTTGAGGTCCGGGCTCCAATTCCAAGAAGTAGACAAATTTGATGACGCCGACGCCTCGGCAATCAGTTCAATTCCGAAGCCATTTCGATCGCGCACAGTGCGCTGACAGCAGTTTGCCAAATACTCTGCGCTATGGGCTCAATAAACACCTGCGTAAGGAACATATTCTCTTGGTAATATCATATTTTCTTGGTAATATCATATTTTCCTGGTAATATACCCATATATGCTGTGTGCGTGGGTGAAACCATCACTGGAGTCGATTATGTTCGACCCCCGCAATTCTTGTTGTTGAAAACACATGATGTGGCACTGACGTAAGCATATACATATTAATGTAACATAAATCAATCTATATTGTGTATAAAATGACGTTCAATGTTTTTTTAATGATACCGTCACCTGATTTCCATTTAAAGCTAAAAATACAGAAACCGTATACAAGGTATAGATGTGACGCCAAGTACCATCCTAAACACTCGCCTGGGCACGCGGAATCAATAGCTCCGAAGTCTCCGGCTCTTGGGAAGGATTTAGCATTGAAGAGAAGGGAGATTTTCCAGCGAGGAATTCGAGCTGAGGATGGGATGAAAATGCACAAAAGTAGCACCGGATAAAACCAAGCAATTTTTGACTACCCACCTACGGAGCGTCGCCGCCAGCTTCTGGTGTAAGTGTTAAGGAAAAGAATAGTTTCTTCTTCTCCGACGGGCAGGCCTATTTGTTTTGAATTGAAATAAGTATGTGCACTGTTTTATTTAACTTTTGTGTGAGCTGGGTTTAACAATGTCGCCTCTGTGGTCTATCGGAAATATGCTGGACTGATGATCCGGCGGCGCTGGGCACGAGTCCCCGAACGGGCGGATTGCTTGACCCGACGGAAATGGAAAGGTCAGCTGGCGACTGGCCAGCAAGGGTCAGCCCAGGCGAGGTCAGCCGCGTCGCAGCATTGTGCGGCAAGTAAAACCCTCCGCATTCCTGTATGGTGAAAGGGTTGAAGCAAAATAATCCGTTGAACTGGACGGCATGACTTGGGTGGTGGGTTCAGGGTACATGCAACAAGCTGTACTTAGCAGGTACTCTGAACCCCAAAACCATGTATGCAGACTGTTCGGAGTAAATATACAAAAATGCACAATTCCTAGCAAAAGCATTAAGATTCTAGAAAGGCAATAGAAAACCGGTAAATAATTGACGGCGGCTTTGTCATTGATGTTTGCTCTTCTGAGCGCGTCATTTCTGCAGCACTCTGACTTTCCGCCGTTTACTTACAAAAGCCGGGCGTGCATGGTCGGGCGATGACGGTGGCATTGGTTGAGAATATAGCTGTAAACTGCGTATAAATTCAGCTTAGCGTCACACACTGAGGATGGTATTGTATCAGACTCCACTTCGGTGAGTAGATGCAGCAGATGTTAACTACGTACGGCTGGTTCGCTCTGTAAGGAGGAAATAATTGCTCTCCGCCGCTGCTGCACTGACCTCCGGGCCCCCATCACGCAGCAGTAGTGTTCTCACGTCCCGGACGAGTGGAGTTTTGTATAAAGCGTAGAGAGAGGGCTGATAAAAAATCGCTAAACCCGAGTAATTAGTACAAGCTATGTCGTCTCCTTGAATATGACCAAATTTCCTCCCAAAGTTGGAGAGAGGAACTAGAGTCCCATTGAGATGAATAGGAAACTACAGTCCTGGTCCCAAACCGAATAACTGCAGGTCTGTAAAAGTCTGGGTGGGTTCATATTGCCCCAGTATCTAACCTGGCTGAAATACTGATTGAAGGATGCCAGAAAGATTCCAACTTGGCTGGTAGGTAGCTGCATTAATTACTAAGTGCCGGGTGTTTCTGTTGTTATAGTGGCTTGCATAACGTTTCAGTCATAACTTTGTGCCATGGGGAATCATGCAACGGGTGCACAACATTTCGAGCATTGGTTTCTATCAGCCTTAATTGAAATTCACACCTTTCGGAATAGCACTGTCAATATGAAGAAGTGTCCATCTGCTCCATTGCTTAAAAAATACCGTACGTGTGATCATACCCTTAGGAAGGAAGCACTTCCTTAGGGAGTTTTAAGCCTTTAGAATTACAAGGTTTCAATCTTTAGCAGGCTTTGGTTATCGCTGAGACCAGCTAGTGCATTGAATTTGCTGTCAACTGCTGCTAAAGAATATCCTACAGTATCGACCGCGTACGTAGTGAAAACTCACCTGGGCTTTTTTGTTCTCACTACGAGGCGCAATTTTTTACTCTTTCCCCAACAGCCCATGCCAAATCTTAGATACTGCCAAATCTTAGATAATACAATGTGTATTACAGTGTCAAAATGGCAATATTAAGGTTGAAGGCGTGGCAGCAAAATACTTGTGACGCACCCCCTCCATCGAAATGACACCTGATCTTGGTACAGTCATCGGCACCCATTTGCCGTTCTCTTTTACAGCCATCCCAATCCTGATAACTGCATCCGCCTCAGCAGCCATGGCCGTCGCCCCTCCCGCCACAGAGGTCACATGAGGTCAATGCCGTGCCACTCGAGCCCGCCGGGCGCCACTTACCAACTTGGAGCACGCTCTCCACGCAGCCCGTCTCCAGCAAGCGCACCCCCTTGTGGAACGGCAGGCTCTGGTAGTCGCTGCTCGTCGACGGCACCTTCGATAGCGAAGAGTACATGAAGATGTCGTGCTCGTTGCGGGGGAACGACCAGAAGATGACGCGCCGCTGCACTGGCTCCGGAATGCGGTCGTATCGCTCCTCGATGCGCTGGAAGGGCACATTTTCGGCGACATTCCTGGCGCAGATGTCGAGCAGCGCGTCCGGCGAGCGCATGGCCGCCGCCGCGTACTGGGGCGTCCTCAGCAGCTTGGACATGTCGTGCGGCCGCGGCAGCATCTCCCTGGCCATCGCAGCACCGCGCGCCCGGCCACCGCCCCCGCCAGCCGCCGCCCGCCTGCGCGCGGCACCCTCCCTCCACTCGCCGCTCGACCGAATGCTAATAAACCCGCTCGGGGCCTTTAACGCCGCTCTGCGCATGCGCGCTGCGCCCGCTCCCAGCTGATTGGTGCGGCGCCCAATACCTCAGTAAATTGGAGCGGGAAGATAAAGTGCGTCGGCGGCACGGGGAGCGAGCGGGAGGAGGTACTGCCCGGCTGAAGGCCCATGAACGAACTCAGCGCGCCGCCGACCCGTCCCGTTCGTAGCAGGGGCGCATCCAGGGGCGGGGGAGGGCAGGAAACAATGGTCGTAACACCGTCGCTTGCGCTGCACGCTGCCAGTCACTTGCGTGCTATCAAGGAGACAGAACTCTCTGAGGAAAATTAAAATTTTGATCACGTGCTTAAGTGCCAGTTTGATCATATCCTCCATGGAAGCCTTTTCGCGCAGCATGAAATGTGCTTGCTGAGCTCTCTGTGTGCTGCAGGCGCAGATCGAGGATCTCCCCTTGGGATGTGGATTCCCCTCGGATTCTTTCTGAGCGACCCCGGGGAGGCGCCATAATCCTATATATATATATATATATATATATATATATATATATATATATATATATATATATATATATACATATATATATATATATTTATATATATATATATATATATATATAGCACACGGAGGGTTCAGCAGGCACATTTCATGCTGCGCGAAAAAGCTTTCATGGAGGATATGATCAAACTGGCACTCAAGCACGTGGTCAAAATTTTAATTTCTTCAGAGAGGGGGTTCTTCGTCCTTGATAGCACGCAAGTAACTGACAGCATGGAGCTCAAGGGAAGGTGTATATATATATATATATATATATATATATATATATATATATATATATATATATATATATATATATATAACGCAGGAACAGCTTGATGGCAAGGACAGCAGTCGCTGTCGTTTATATAACTCATTAACGTTTCGATACATGGTGTATCATTATCAGGACACAAGGGTGCGAATGTGCAATGAAAAAAGAACATTTAACAGACATCGCTAGATATGGCAATGGTCATAGTTTATATACAGTTAACGCAATTAGACGCGACTTCTCCGCGCGCAAACAAAGCAGCCTGAAAAATACACAATCACACGATGAAAGATATTTTAGGCTGCATATGAAAAACCATTTTGTAACTTGCAGAGGATGTGCAAACCCCATGGTGTTCAACGGCAGCTTCTTTTTGTGGTGAATGCGAAGTGACTCTAAAATTCTAAGATCGATAGAATTGCTGCAGCGCCTTAATGCGGACAAATTTTCAAAGTTAAGGTAAGTGCTACAGGTGCTGAAATGAATGGTCTCGGATGGGCGAAGGTCCCGGGTTAGAAATGATGTTGTCTGTTCTTAAAATTCGTGCGTGACACCACCCCTAGAACCTGCTGGGTGCCAATGAGAGGTGAAAGTTACAAGAAAATATTTTATGTGCTGGACTGAATGATTGATTTTTGACGTTCTTGTTTTCAATCCAGTGAGTTTAAATACACCCTAATATCCCAAAATAAAGCACAATTTTTCAAGGTCTTACAAACGCTCCAAATTTTAATAGGACTTCGAACATTTTTGAAGATCTTCCCAGATGGTGCGATAGGTAGAGAGTTCCTTGGGTAACATCTCTGTTATCTGTGAAGACAGAAAATTCAGGGGAAATGGTCTCAGGAAATCAAGAGTAATGATTGTTCTCCCTTCTCCCTAAAATCATTGATTTGTGTGTCCCTTTATGCCCCTTTTTGCTGTTTTCTACCAAACTGACGACATTATTACAAATTTGCGACAACACACAGAACACATACATCACACATCACCTTTGCGACAACTGACAGAACTGCAGTTTAAGTCTGTTTGTTTTCACCATACGTAACACTTAACCTGGTGCTTCTTAAACTTAAGTCATCACTTTACCGCATTCAGGGATCTTCCATCGCGACTGACTGGTTGACGGGGTGGATCTATGTATCCGAAGTCCGAGGTTCAAATCAGAGGCGGATCCAGAAATTCTCCAAGGGCTACTTCTGCCAGCGGAAGCCCCACATTCCACAGGGGACCCCGAAACCCACTCCTTGGAATGAAAAATCTCGGTGGATTCGCCCCATTTCATACTGAGGGCCAAACTTTGACTTTGTTCTCCCCTGAGCGCCATAGACTCACATTCAGGGGCGTAGCTAGTCGTGGTAATGGGGCGGGCACCTAGAGGGCCTCCGGTGAAAAGTGACCCGACATAAAGGGAAGAGAAGAGAATAAAATATCAGCGTACAGATGTTTTTACGTAGCTGACAGGTTTCAAATTCCGTCGGCTGGAATTATATTCGCTTATATAAGTACAAAGATTGAAGCAAGGATGCAAGAAATGCGTTCTTATGACAATGGTAATCACGACAAACATGCTTATGACAATTCCGCTGGATGCCATTCCAATTGTTCGATCTCGCGAACTGCTCGATCCGAGATTAAACAGATCGTGCAAAATACGATGGACCCAACTGAGAGGTCTGCGTGAAAGGGAAGTGCTTAAATGCTGTCACCCTCGAGAGAAAATGCTGGCATACTCAAAAGACATCTGCTCGTGCCATGGTTTTTAAGAGACCATGATCAATCAGCATGGGCGTAGAGACGGGGAGGGCGTGCCCCCCCCCCCCCCCACACACTTTTCAAGGGAGGAACAGCCCTGGTAATTCCCGGATTTTTTATATTTGATTTGTGCTTAGCTTACTTTCGTACTACCTTAGGCCTGCATATCCATTCAAGCTTGTTATGCTACCATAAACGGCAAAGGGAGATATTTAGGGGTACATTCTAGATTACTCTGGTACTGCAGGCTTCGAGCGGTCGCCATAGGTAGCCTTGGTTATTCTGCATGCCTGTTGAGAGTTCCTCCGCACATGTTCATGGAGTTCAAGATGCATATATCATGGGAGTTTGGCAGAGGCGCTAGTCTGGCATGTCAGACAAGAACTGGGCTTTTTATAATGGCGATGTTCATGCAATTTTCGTAATATTAGCGCTATTACGCCATCAGGTTGAAAATTTCAGATGTTATTTGAAATGCTGCCAGTTCGTGGGCATTTTCTGCAGGCAGCATTGCTGCATTATTTGTCCGACAATTGCTCCGTGTTTAGGGATTTTTGTGACACTTTAGAAGAGCATCGGGTGTTTCAAGAAACCCTGCCTGGATTAGCCGGGTACAGACTCAGTATTGATCAATTCAAAAACCGATTCAGCATTTTTTGTTGTGCATTCGCCTCATATGCTATAATTAACTACGCTAGCTCTTCATGTGTTAGTCATGTGGTACTCCATCGTTCCCAGTGCGCCATTTATTTAGAGCAGGTCATCAGGAGGGTGTCGGCACGTTAGGATATGTGCCTACAACCACCGCGGCTAACAACAACCACCAGAAAGCCCTGAGTTTGCAGGGGGCATTTCTGAACGTCTTTGGCTCTGATCAGAGGCGGGGCCAGGAACGCCCGTAAGGCAGGGGCAGAATAATGTAGCACCATGCACCATAAGTGCCACACAGCGCGTATGATGTGTTTGTCACAAACTGTGAGTCTGTGACAAACAGTGTTCTTCGTTATTCTCACACTCGCCAAACTTCGAAGAAGGTTGTCGCCTTCCGTTGTTGAGTGCTGCTCGTGTTGAGGTACGAAGTGCATGTCGGTGTAGCTCAAAAATATATAAGGCTATCAGCTTAGTTTGCCCTTATCAGTTTAGTGCAAACGGCTCGCAGGAATACCTTCGCACATACGGTTCGTCGAACCAGCTTGCGTGAGTCTCGATAACTAAGTTGGTTGGAGAGCACGACTTCCAATGCACCCACCTGTGGCGCGGTGGGTTCGGGTCGTTTTAGGCGCTCGCTATTTGCATTTGGCAGGCATGGCATGCGGCAGGTGACAGATTTCGCGCAAAAATACAGATGACGTCAGAGGGAAGGACGGATCGTGCTGAGCAGCGCGGCGCGTTAAACTTTCGTCATCCAGTTTTGTCGTTGAGCTCGAAGTGCACTATCGGATGACAGGGGTCCGGACTCACACTATAACCACTGCTTAGCGTAAGCTCTGATCCAAGAAATTCATTCGTCCAAAACGTTGGGATTAAATTTTCATTAAGATAATTATTTTAGGCTACCACCTCGTGCTTTTAATCAGAACATTTTGACCCCAATTGACCGGGCAAGCTTTAATGCATCATCAGACGCATTGATATGGCTACGCCGTGTGATCGTGATTACCCTTTGTCCTGCCGCCAACGATATTTTCCAGGTCAAACAATCAGCCGCCTCAGGAACGTAACACAAGTGCTTACCACGTGCTGGGGTGAAGGGTCTGAACAACTCGGACACGATTGTAGAAGCCGGAATAAATAAAAAATACGAGTAGCATGCACCCAGGTGATCGATTACCAAGGCGCACGCTTCAAATGACTAAAAACACATCGTCGGCGCCTGAGAAGTTAATGCGACCGGACTTCTTATTTGGCGATAGCTCGATGAACAGTGATGATCATTTAGTTCAACATCGAACATGCAATGACAATACAAAGCGTTCTCTGCACGGTCTAGCCAACCACTTCACTGCGCTTCATAAAATTACTCACACACACACACACACACACACACACACACACACACACACACACACACACACCACACACACACACACACACACACCACACACACACACACACACACACACACACACACACGCACACACACACACACACACACACACACACACACACACACACACACACACACACACACACCACACACACACACACACACACACACACACACACACACACACACACACACACACACACACACACCACCACACACACACACACACACACACACCACACACCACACACACACACACACACACACACCACACACACACACACACACACACACACACACACATATATATATATATATATATATATATATATATA